TCAGACTGTGCTTTTAAGATATCGAGTTGTCGTGCAAAACTAATACGATACTGGTAATTAACAGGATGGATAAAGTGCACGGCAAGTTTGGGGCGATCTGAGGCTTTAGTCGGTGGGAAAAGGGTACGCTAACTCATGGGTGAAGTGGAAAAGGGGGTTACCATGCAATATAAATGTGATATTCTGATTCAGCGCCCCAGACAACCACCCGAGATTTTTGCGAAATCCGAGATTTTTCAGCGGAGTTTTCAGATTGCTTTGAGACTAGTATTGTTGAATATTGCCAGTTACCGTTTTAGTGTGCTATTGGTAGCCCCACTGAGCATTTGCAATGCCATTCGAGAGAGCATCTCACCAGTTTATGCACAAAGCTATTGCAAACTTGGGGAGCACTTGGAGAATAAGCTGTCATGGGCGATGCGGAACAGTAACCAATAGGAACAATTAGTCAGTGCAATTAGAAAGCCATTTTCTACAATCCAACTTTCTTGGGCTATCTGTCTCACTTCAAATCAAAAAAGTGATGCAGTTATCCATGAGAGGTTTTTTGCTTGAAGTAATGAAACCGTTAAATTCTTACATCAGTCCTGCCTCATGTACAGATCAGGGATACTGCGAAAATCCAAACCACATTACCTACTATATTTGACATCTGTTAGCACACTTATGGTATATTATATTATGAAATAAATAAATAAATTAAATAAACTTAGTATGAAAACGATAGTACCACATTTAAATGGACTGACGCTGCTTTGTATGTCTTTGACAAATGATTTTAGTATACCGTTGCCATTTCTCTAAAAAGGTCACCTACTCTGCGAAAAATGCTTGTTCAAACCAGGCTTCTTTGGTTGCGAAGGCAGAGATAGGATTTAATTTTTGTATGCTAATCAGGATATTCAATTCCACTAGGTTCACAGATGAAACAAGACAATGTTTGGTTTGTGTTCACTTTATATAGGTGGAACAATGGTTTCCATTTATGTTTTTAGCTTTTTCGCTAAAAAGACTGCACGTGGCTTTTAAATTTATGATAGAATTAGTGAAACCATAATAGTTGAATAGATAAACATGCTCGATAGTCGTTAATGCGATATTCACTGCTTATCTTTTTTTACAGTAAATATTTTACGAGCAGCTACAAACTGACTTACGTATTTGCGCATGTGACACCTTCTGCACTTCTGTCCGCAGCAATGGTGGTATGGGTATTAATGATGAAGACGCCGAACGAGTGAGTAAAACGACTTATTTCTATTCTTATCCACTGATTATCTTTTTTTTCTTAGAATGGTAATCTGCGTCATTATGGCACCTATGCGCGGTGCAATCTACACAACCTTTACCTATACAATTATGGTACTCAATCTTTTGATCATTTCGTGTTATGTCTTCTTCCTCCTTTCGTTTAGGAAGATCCGAATGAGTAAGTTTAGCTCTTCCTCGCATTCCGTTCTTCTAATAGCTTATCCAAGAGTTAATTTGCAAGTTTATGCCCATTTCATACTACCGTTTTTTTCTTTCTGATGTTGGGTAGTGTGAGACTGAAAAGACATCTTCCTTCAGAATGGGAAATAAACCGAAAAAATGATCTTCATTGGTGAAAAAAGATGTGGCTCTACAGAAATAACAGACATAGCCTTGGCTTTCATATTTAATCCACTGGATACTCTTTTAAGTGTTTGAAGAAGGAATGACTTTTTACAGTAGGTATAGTTCATATTGCAGTCGTTAAAACATGTCTACCTCGTTTAGATGTTTGAAATCTGGATACATTCACGCTTGAGTCGTCGAATTCAGCTAACCTAGAAATGAGCCGAAAATTCCATTTTTAAAGCTCGGAATGAAACACCTCTATGCGAGATGTTTTGCTGCAACTAATCATCCGTAGAATTGGTAATGTACTTCAGTAACTTTCTAGCATAGTGTTTCATAAAATGACAAATTTTCAATTCACACTATTCAAAATGATAGCGCAGACAGGACATGGTAGTTACGTCATTTCCCCTTTTTTTCTGCGTACTGCGGTGTTTGAAATCGCTAAGCGGGCGCCTGTCTGCACACCCCGTTGCACGTAGCGAGAACTATTTTCTTCTGACATCAGCAGTTTTGTCACGATCAGAAGCAAGAAAGTATTTCTAGTCAGCTTGTTTTCTAAAATTTCAGAGACGATTTAGGCAAGGACAAAATGAAGAACATTTATCGTTCGTTGATTATTATTAGTGCGACAGTGGTCTTCGGCTGGTTTAGTACAACAACGCTGGCTTCATTTCTTCGTTTACTCCACATAAACATGGAACAACTTTATGCAGATTTACTGGCAGGACTATTCGTTAACTTCGCGTGTGCGATGAACTTCTTCGTTTATTTTGTAGTAAGGTTTGTGAGCATTGATACCTTTCTGAATTTTTGCTGAAACGTCACCTGCATTTTGCGAAGTGGAAATGTTCGTTAAACTGTCAAAAGCAAAAGCTACGCATTTCAGCAAAGAATACCGCCATGTTTTCAAATCGCATCTCTTCTTTTGCCTGGGCAATATCCTCGATAGTGCGAGAACGTCTAGAACAACAGATAAGCCCGCAGACCGTACAACAGCACATCCTTCCGGTAGAATAGCCGTAAATGTCACCCAGCAAAGATCGTGAAGCAGTCGAGCGGAAGACAAAAGGACTGAACGAATTAATCTAGCAGACGAACTTGGCGGCAGTTATTGTGTAAGCATATCTCTAATCTGGTAAACAAATGGCTGTTTAGAAGCTGCTGTTTGTCTTCTATTTACGGGTTTGCAACATGCTATAAGTATTTGAGCTTACAGTTGTATTCTTCTGTTTCTCTGTGCTGGTTGCACCTTCGTTTTTCTTTATGTCGAGCCGTGACTGGAAGTCATGTGATAAGAAGTATAAATTTACGACCGTTAGCCTTACAAAACCGTCGATAATCTCAATGTGAGAGGTGTGAAGACCTTGCTCAAGCATATTTCAATTCTCCGCATAATTTTTCTGCACATTATCCAATTATCCAAATTGTTTTACCCCTGTAAAATCATCGTTGTTCCTTTCGAGCACACTATGCATGAGCTGTGCAGGGAACGATTTTTCTCTGAATTAAAAGCTGTCTTTCGCTATTTTCAGCAATTACTGCACTAGTTTCGTGCTCGCTTTTTACAGTTCTAGCTTTCAGTTGTGTTTCTATTTTCAATGTTGTTATATAAGGTTGTTCGGAAAATAAATGATCTCATTTTCGACCACATATCAAAGGCTGTAGAATGGTCTGGAACGCCACTGTGAATTATGCATGAGTTATCAAAAGGATATTAAAACATTATGGTCATTCGCTGGTTACATCTCAAAATAACGGAGATTTTCTTCATTCATCAACATGCTCTTCACAGTGTTCATCTCTCGCTTTCTTCAAATATTCAGAACCTCTAACATCTATCTGGAATAACGCACTTTACTTGGGGAAGACCTCATTTTCATAATTTCAGTGTCTTTTTCTTTGGTTTTGTTCTCGTCGTTGTTGTTTGGTTCAGTCTGTCTAATGAAGGGAATTAGGAATAAGATTCTGAAGAGAGCCCGGCTGCAATCGACCATCGCATCGATGGAGATATGGAAAAGACGCTGTGATGCGATCCCAGAGTGACCATACGGGAACTTCCTACGAATTCAGCTAACCATCTGAGGCAGTGACTCTGCACCATCACCTTTGGAAAGCTTCGACATCGTAGATCGAGGCGTACTGTAAACGAGCCTTATTTAATTTGAAAGCTGTAAACTTATTATGAATGTTCTTATCGACAGATAATCAAAATTCGGAAAACAACTATCAGTCTGCAGTTTATCTATTATCAATAAATACATAGGCGTGCGATCTTTATGTAACTATGTGCGCGGATCAGCGGACAGCCGGAAGGCAACTTAAAAAGTCGACTGACCTTTGATCAGATGACCGAACTCCTAGTAACAGATAGCATATCTATGGGTAGATAGGTATAACGTCGGACTAGAGTGGCGTTGTTAATAGGCCTTCTGGCTTGCTGCTACAGATTTATTTGAAGAAATTCGAATAAACTGTGTATAAGCTGATGGTTGCTATTTTTGTGCAGTGAATATCGAAAACTCTTTCGTCGAGAAGAATCTTTGGTCAGGAACGTCATTAGCCTCTACGCATGACATCTCATCGTTTCCGGACTGTTTGCAGAACGTCACCAGCTTCACATTTTGCGGAAACTAGATGTCCACTGTGGATCGGTTGCAAAATCCGGGCTGAGCGGGGATCGATTTCGGGACCTCTCGCATTCTAGGCGAGAATCATACCACTAGACCAAGATGTCTGGTGGACATCGATTTCGGGCTGCCTGCACAACGCCCACAGTATCACGTTTTGCGGGGACTGATCGGTTGCAAAATTAGAGCTGAGTCGGGGATTGATCCAGAGAATTCGCGCACCCTGAGCGAAAATCATACCAGTGGACTACTTAGCCTTGTGAATTTCCTGTCTGTGCTCTTTTAAAGGCAGTGTGCCGCCAAATTTTCATCGGTGAGCTATTAAAGTAGGAACTTGGCGAAAGGTCTGCTCAACTTTCCTGCCACAGTAGTACTCCCTAATTCTAACTAATTTCCAAGAAAATTTGAGAAATTGCCCTACCAGTGTACGAGTGAGACCAAGCAAAACGCGTTAGATCAAAGAAGAGCGAAACAGTAACCATTCATTCATTTCGTTACGACACATGGTATATTAACTCGTAGAAGCATGCCCTTTTTTAGGACTGAGAACACCTAACAGCGATCTTAACTGTGGTAGGGATGTTTGGGTGATCCAGGGTGACATTCCTACCACAATATCTCATCAACGAAAATATGGCGGTACAGTGTCTTTAAGTAACTCTGTATTTGAGTGGCAGCGACTCTAATGCAACTTGAAAATATATGGCAGTAGAAAATGCGTAGTACGAAAGACAGCGATAAAACTGATCACTTTTCCATGTTTTCATGATCTCCAGGTCACTCTAAAAATTTTTCGACCCATCCTCGGATAAGGAGGCTTGTAGAGTGCGTTTTCCA